TAGGACTTTCCTGCCTGGGCTGGCTTTGAACTTTGATCCTCAGATCACAGTCTCCTTGAGTACCTAGGATTACAGACGTGAACCATTGGCGCCCAGCTTTTTCTCCCTTTTTATTTATTTATTTTTTTTTTGGGTCGGTTGTGGGGCCTGGACTCTGGACCTGGGCACTGTCCCTCAGCTCTTCAGCTCAAGGCTAGTGCTCTACCACTTGAGCCACAGTGCCACTTCCAACTTTTTCTGCTTATATGGTGCTGAGGAATCGAACTCAAGGCCTCATGCGTGCAAGGCAAGCACTCTACCACTGAGCCACCTTCCTAGCCCCTCTCTCCCTTTTTAATTTTTAATTTTTTATTTTTTTTGTCGGTCGTGGGGCTTGAACTCTGGGCCTGGGCGTTGTCCCTCAGCTCTTCAGCTCAAGGCGAGCGCTCTACCACTTGAGCTACAGCGCCACTTCCGGTTTTCTGGTGGTTTATTGGAGATAGGAGTCTCACGGTCTCTCCTGCCTGGGCTGGCTTTGAACTGCGATCCTCAGATCTCAGCCTCCTGAGTAGCTAGGATTACAGGCGTGAGCCACCAGCGCCCGGCTCCTCTCTCCCTTTTTAACAGACTAGAGCCTGGCATGTTGCTCAGGCTGTGGCCTTCATTTCCTAGGCTCAAGCAATTCTCCTGCCTCAGCTTCTCAGCTAAAGGCATATACCACCTAGTCTGAAAAAAAAAAAAAAGCATATAAGATCAAAGTACATTATATGCATGTATTGAAGTGTCATAATGAAACCTACTATTTTTAATTTTTATTTTTTTATTTTTTTGTCAGTCATGGGGCTTGAACTCTAGGCCTGGGCACTGTCCCTGAGCTCTGCAGCTCAAGGTGAGCACTCTACTATTTGAGCCACTTCGGTTTTCTGGTCGCTAATTGGAGATAAGAGTCTCACAGACTTTCCTGCCTGGGCTGGCTTTGAACTGTAATCCTCAGATCTCAGCCTCCTGAGTAGCTAGGATTACAGGTGTGAGCCACTGGCACCTGGCTAAAATCCATTAATTTAATATACATCAAATAAATAAAATGAAACTCAGGTGAGTTCAGACATGGCAGTACTCACTAATAACCCTAGCACTCAGGAAACTGAGGCAAGATAGTCATAAGTTTGAGGCCTATTTGGGCCATCTAGCCAAGTCCTGTCTCATAAAAAGAAAGAAATTTGGGCAATAACCATAGTACATATAACAAAAGTTACAGGAGTTTTCACCTTTCTTGCCTCTTGTTGAATTGGTACAGGGGCCCTGAATTGTTCAAAAGGTGAAGAAAGGGCTGAGAAGGTGGCTCAGTGATAGAGTGCTTGCCTTGTATGCATGAGGCCCTGGGTTTGATTCCTTAGCATCACTTACACAGAAAAGCCAGAAGTGGCGCTGTGGTTCAAGTGGTAGAGTGCTAGCCTTGAGCTGGAGAGCTCAGGGACAACACGCAGGCCCAGAATCCAAGCTTCACAACTGACAAAAAAAGTGAAGAAACCATCAGGCCCTGGTGGTTCACGTGTATAATCCTAGCTACTCAGGAGGTTGAGATTTGAGGATTGTGATTTAAAGCCAGCCTGGGCAGGAAAGTCTGTGAGGCTCTTATCTCCAATTAACTGCCAGAAAACCTGCAGTGATGCTGTGGCTCAAAGTGGTAGAGTGCTAGCCTTGAGCAAAAGAACTCAGAAACAGTGCCGAGGCCCTGAGTTCAAAGCCCCTGCCCTCTACCCCCAAAAAAGAAAGAAAAGAAAAAGGTAAAAGTAAAAAAGAAAAAGTGAAATAGTTGGGTGCCAGTGGCCTATTTCTGTAGTCTTAGCTACTCAGGAGGTTGAGATCTGGAGGATCTCAATTCAAATACAGCTTGTCAGAAAAGTCTGCAAGATTCCATCTCCAAAATAACCATCAAAAAAGCTGGACTGGAGATGGCTTCAGTGGCAGAGCACCGGACAAGTAATAAGCTGAACAAATATGAGGTCCTGAGTTCAAACTCTGGTACTGACAGAGAAGAGCAGAAGCAGTTTCTCTCCAGTATCTGTACCTCAGTTTTACCATCTGAATAGAGGGGAGAAGACTGACCTTTGGCAGCCTAAACAGGTCATGCCTACTTTGCTTTCTGCGCCCAAATCCCATGGAATAGCATGGAAGGTTTGGGAACGAAAATGTATAGCCGTACTGAGAAAACACAGAGGGGACATACTGTCTGCTAATGAGTGAGCTTCATGTTTTACACAAGGAAGGAGAATCCATGAGAGTCGTGGCATCGCTGAGAAATGAGGAGAGAGAAGGAAAAAAAGAGAAGAGAATTGAGAGGAAAAAAATCCACGAGAGTCACCATTTGAGCAAGAAGATTGCTGCCCAGGGCTAGCCCGTTTGTTGGTGGCAGCAGTGTCATTGCTAATTACTGATAAGTCTGTCCCTTCGGCCTTGGCCCCTTCCCCAGGCCCAGCCACTCACACTTTGCGGTCATTGAGCAGCATCCCATTCATGGTGCTGATAGCCTGCTGTGCAGCCTCGTGGGTCTCAAAGTGCACAAAGCCGAAGCCCCGGGAGCCATGCTCATTGCACACCACCTGGTTCATGGGGAGGAAGCACAGAGTACATTCAATAGGATAGCAAGGTCATAAAGGCAGCACAGACACCTCTCTGTTATGTGCATAGGAACTGGGGTGTGGCTCAGAGGTAGGGTACTTGTCAAGTGTGCACCAGGCATTTTGTGGTGATTATTAGCACAATCTCCAAAAACGAACAACAAAAGAATCTTATGTCTGTCCCATTTCAGAGATGGGGAATTGAAATTTGGAGATCAATTCCCTTGCTTAAGTTATCAGAGAAAGGAAGGAAAGACCCCTCAGAAAAAATCCAGATTTTATCTGCACCATAGACCAGCGTTAACTGCCTTCCTAAAACAAGGATTAGCCCAACCCCCAAAACTGCATACTAGTTCTAACAGCAAACTAGAAGCTTAGAAACACCCTAAACCTCTCAAGATGAAACTTCTGAGTAGCTAGGATTACAGGCATGAGTCACCAGCACCTGGCTATCATGTCTGCTTTTGATACTGAAAATACAACAATGATTAAGAGCAAGACCACTACTCTTAATAGCATAAGAAAAAATTTAAAAACAAGATGTGGGGGTGGGGGTGGGGCTGGGAGGTATATCAGTGGTAGAGTGGGTACTTAGCATACATAACACTCAAAAGCAAGACATGAAGCCCGGTGCCGGTGGCTCACACCTGTAATCCTTGCTGCTCAGGAGGCTGAGATCTAAGGATCGAGGTTCAAAGCCATCCAGGGCAGGAAAGGCCGTGAGACTTTTTTTTTTTTTGGGGGGGGGGGGGTCGGTTGTGGGCCTGAACTCAGGGCCTGGGCACTGTCCCTCAGCTCTTCAGCTCTAGGCAAGCACTCTACCACTTGAGCCACAGCGCCACTTCCGGCTTTTTTTCCCCTGCTTATGTGGTGTTGAGGAATCGAACCCAGGGTCTCATGCATGCAAGGCAAGCGCTCTACCACTGAGCCACCTTCCCAGCCCTGGCTGTGAGACTGTTATCTCCAATAAACCACTCAGAAAACCAGAAATGGCGCTGTAGCTCAAGTGGTAGAGCACTCGCCTTGAGCTGAAGAGCTGAGGGACAGCACCCAGGCCCAAAGTTCAAGCCCCATGACCAACAATTAAAAAAGTCTGCCTGGGCTGGCTTCCAACCTTGATCCTCAGGTCTGTCTCCTGAGTAGTTAGGGTTACAGCTGTGAGCCACTGATGCATGGTTGCACCCAATATTTCTACTGCATTACCCCCCCCCTCTTTCGGGGTATGGGCTGGTCTTGTGACTAGCTTTGACCAACAGAACAGTAGAAGTGATGGGGTGTCAGTTTTCAATTAAAATCTCAGAAAACCTGTCATCTGAGATCTGCCATTGTCATAAGAATGGCCTGAGCTAGCCTGCTGGTAGAAGGAAGCCCAGATGTTCTAGCTGATGATCAGCCCCTGCTACCTATATCCCCTGAGGGTTTCCACCAGCCTCAGAGAGCCTAGTCTAGGTCAGAACTTCCCACTACGTTAAGCCAAACCAATAACCAATGATGGTTGTTGACAGTCATGAGTTTGAGGTTGTTTCACTATGGGTTGACCCATACACAGGTAACTTCTGATAGATCCAGCAAGAGAAAATGGAAAGAATAGCTAGCTACTGGTTAACCACTTGCTCTATCTCAAGCCAAACTGTAAAAGTGAAGTGATGCTGGCCATCCCTTTAACACACGAGCCTTTGTCAAACTTTCCCCAAAGAGTCATACCCACCTTGCAAGAGAGGATATTCCCAAAGGTGGAGAAGGTGTCATACAAAGCCTTGTTGTCAATCGAATCCTCCAGGTTCTTGATGAAGATGTTGCCCACACCTGACTTTCGAAGCCCTGGGTCTCGATGGGACCACATGATTCGAATGGGTTGACCCTTGATCACCTCAAAGTTCATAGTGTCCAATGCCCGTTCCGCTGGGCAGAAGGAGAGAAAAAGGGCAAGTTAAGGGAATTTTCTGACCTTAAATTTACATAATGCCTAATTAGGAACAAAAAGGAAAAGAAAGAGATGGAAGGAAGGAAGGAAGGAAAGAAGGAAGGAAAAAGCAAGCAAGCCAGGCCCTGGTGGCTTATGCTTCCTATAATTCTAGCTACTCAAGAGGCTGAGATCTGAGGACTACAGTTCAAAACCAGCCTAGGAAGGAAAAGTCTGTGAGACTTATCTCTAATTAAACACTAAAAAAAACAGAAAGTAGAGCTGTGGCTCAAGTAGTAGAATGCCAGATTTGAGCAAAAAAAAGCTGAGACTGCCCCAGTTCAAGCCTCAGTATCAGCACAAAAACAAAAATGGAAAGCTATTGTCTGGGCCTCACAGGAGAGAGGAACCTGGAAGTTCATGTGAAATTAACACGTTTGGTGTGTCTCTCACCTTTCTAGGCCGGCTTACCAAAGCCACAAGGGCATGGATCCCTATCCCCATGTTACAGATGGGAAAACAAGCTGGGAAAGGTGAGAGGTCAGTGACGGAACCCATTTATTCTGTCCTCTGTAACCAATGGAGTAAATGAGAATATAAAGGAGGGACCCATATGACAAGAGGCTAACAGCAGTTTGAGGAAATTAAACCTCAGAGACACTAATAGAGCTGAGGTTTGATCTAGGATGGTGTGGCTTGGGGGAAAGCCACCTCTCCCAGCCCTCATCCTCATATAGTCAGTTGGTTATGGGGCTTAAACTTAGGGCCTAGGCACTGTTCCTGATCTTTTGTGCTCAAGACTAGCACTCTACCACTTTGAGCCACACACAGCTCCACTTCCAGTTTTTAGGTAGTTAATTGGAAACAAGGGTTTTACTAACTTTTCTGTCTGGGCTGGCTTTGAACCCTGACCCTCAGATCTCAGCCTCCTTAATAGCTAGGATTACAGGTATGAGCCACTGGCACCCAGTTTATAGATTTTTATTTTTTTGCTCAAGGCTCATGCTCTACCACTTGAACCACACCTCCACTTCCAGCTTTTTCATAGTTAATTGGAGATAATATCACACTTTCCTCCCCACTAGTGCTCAACTTATAGTAGGTTTTTGGTGGATAACAATGTATCTGAAAACAGCAGCTTTGCCCACCCTCTTGACACACTATATGCTGTCCCCTCTGCTTTGGTGACTTGGAGGGGGTTGGTAGAGGGTGGTAGAGCAGGCCTTGAAGTCCAATGCTAGCATAAGCAGCCAAGGGCAAAACACTTTTCTCTGCTGTTCAGTTCTTCCATCCATGAACTGGGTCAGGTCCTATTGCACTCACGGGGCCTACAGAGAGACTAGGCAAGATGCAGGAAATGGGGTAAAGCAAAGAGGAGCCAAAAGTATCTTGGAATCCATTGTTATTTCAGTAAAGTCTCAACTCAGGGAACCACCTAGAGACCTGGAGTTAAGTGGCCATGGGTCTTTTTATTGTTGTTGTTATTTTGGGTCCGGTCGTGGGGCCTGACTGAACTCTGGACCTGGGCGCTGTCCCTCAGCTCTTCAGCTCAAGGCTTGCGCTCTACCACTTGAGCCACAGTGCCACTTCCAGCTTTTTTTTTCTTTTTGCTTATGTGGTACTGAGGAATCGAACCCAAGGCCTCATGCATACAAGGCAAGCGCTCTACCACTGATACACCTTCCCAGCTCTGTTGTTTTTTGTTGCTGCTGTTGTTTTAGTCTTGACTGGCTTTTGTTGTTGTTTCCGAAACAGTCTCCCTATGGAGCCGGGGTTAGTATCAAACTCATGATCCTCTTGCCTCAGACTCCTGTGTGCTAGTATTGCAGGTGAGCCCTCCCTCTGCCTGACTGAACCAGGCAATTTTTGCTTATATTTGTGGAGTGTTACACAGACTATCACTTTTCTTGGATTGTCATTTAAGAATGCTTGCAATGTGCCAAATGATACTCCACAGATAACCAGTTCTCCATTCCTGCTTTTGGGAATAAAGCTGTGTCCCATTTTACAGATAAAGAGGTGCCAGGGACGCTTTTATCTAAGTTCACATATAGTAGCAGAGCATCAGAAAAACCTAGGGCTCTGAACCTTTATCTTCACTGTCAGCCGAAGCATAGACATGCCCAGCTGATCAAGCTCTAGTCAACCCCATGAGCTTGGAGAAGCTCAGAAATGGCTTTTCAGGGTTTGGTAAGGTGGAGCCAAGGCTCTAACACTGGGAGGTAAGGGCCCAAGGCTCATCCCACTCTCCAGCTGTGCTGCCTTGGTCTCCCTCACCAGGTGCTATGAATCTTTCAAACTCACGACCATTCACTCCAACCCCTCCAACCCTTCTACACACCTCAAACCCCTTTTGCATTATTTTTCCAATAGGTTCCTTTTTTTTTTTTTATGGCTAGGACCTTCCTTGGAACCTCTATCCACAGGATCTTCACTTCCTTAGTGGGGAGGATTACAAGTATGAGCTACTGTGCCAGGCCTCTCAACTCACTTGTAAGGAAAGCACTCAATTTCCAGAAGGGCAAATGAGCCCAGAATGGGTAACTAACTTGGCCAACATCACACAGCTGCTAGCTAGGTTTCTATCCTAGATCTGCTTGGCCCCAAAGCCCTTAGCTATTTTCACTTGGCCTCATTTTCTCTTCTCTACAAAAAGAAGCAATGCCAGGAAACCACGCAGCAATCACCGCTTCTCCCCCTCTTCCCCCCCCCCCCCCCCAGGAGCCCTGTGACTTCCAGCGCCCTGTATCTATGGCTGGAGCCCTGAGTGCCTCTGCCTCTGCCAGGCTCAGGCCCCCGCTCACCGTCTGCCGGCTGCTGGAAGTTGATGTAGGCATAGCCCAGCGAGCGCCGGGTGGCCACGTCACGGCACACGCGGATGGACAGGATGGGGCCTGCAGGCGAGAAGGTCTCGTAGAGCATGGCTTCGTTCACGTCGGGGTGCAGGTCGCCCACGTAGAGCGAGGCGAGCGGGTAGCCCTGGCCTCCGGCGTGCATGGTGAGCAGGGGGTCGGGAGCCCAGGGCCTGGCGAGCCTGGGCGCTGGGCTCTCCCTGCCGCCTTGCCTGGCGCGGCGGCCGGCTCCTTCCCTTTACAGCCCCCGGGGCCCCGCAGCCAATCGCGGGCGCGGGTGCGGTGCCCGCCCCCACCCACCTGCGCGCCCTCAGCCCTCCCCAAGGAACAGGTGGCCAGCGCCTCCAGTGACCAGGCCTGGGGCAGGGTGGAGCGGCTCGGGAGGGGCGGAGGCTGGGACCCCACGGGTGGAAAGCCACACCATGCATTGCTTTCCTAGATCTGTGTAATGGGGACAGACTCCCTCTGGCCTGGCCTGGCCTGGCCAGATTTTGGCTTCACATCAAGTGGGAATATTCCAAGTGGGATCTCAGGTTTCAGAGTTTCTTCACAGATTTTTGTTTTTGGTGGGTTGTGGGACTTGAACTCAAGGCCTGGGCATTGGTCCTGAGCTCTTTCGCTCAAGGATAGTGATCTACCCATCTAGCACTGAGCCACAGCAACACCGCTTCCAGTTTTCTGGGGGGTTAACTGGCTGGCTTTGGGATGCCATCCTCAAATCTCAGCCTCCTGGGCAACTAGGATGACAGGCGTCAGGCACTGGCGCCCCTAGCTATACCCAATATTTCAATCCTGCATTCAGACAAGCTTTGTTCCTCAAGCCGGCCTGTTTCCACCCTTCTGCACCAGCATGGAAACAGCTTTGTGATTTGGGACCACTAAGGCAAGGCCTTGACACTGGTAGTGACATTGCCAAGGTTCCCTCCCACCTCCATGGACTAAGCCATTACACTCACGACTCAACCTGAATGGGAACCACAGAGCAAGGCCAAGGTGGCCTGAACTGACCAGATCTTCTTGCAGCCTCAACCTGCATAGTGTAAGGCTGTTTTATTAAATACTGGTCCACAATGGACCGGTATTTCACCTTGTTTCTTAGGGATGCTGGTTACCCTCCGGCAACTAGGTAGGTAGGCCCCTTCTGACCTCTGGTTGGGTGTTGTCCCAACAACTCCTAAACTAGGGGTGGATGCTGGCCTGGCTGTCCAGTCTCGCCCTCGGAAAGATGCACCAATATTAAAGTTGGCCTAAAAAAAATACTACTCTATCTTGAAAGGGGGAATCTCATGAGGAAAAAGTGCTGTAGACTATCATGAACAGCAACAGGACAGAGGAGACACTATAACACTTTAGACTTCCAAGAATTACACAATCTTAAGGCCAGGTTACATCTCCCAGCCTGGTTGTATCTTAAGGCTAAACATGATGGGGAGGGCTCAAGCAATCCACAAGGGACTTAACACCTGGCCAATCTGCTGTGGCGGTTAACTGGTGGGAAGAGCTGTTTAAGCAAGGGCAATTTCTTTCCCTTTACCACACTTTGCTTTCTGGTTTTAAAGGATGAAGGCTGTTAGCCTTTTTTTTTTTTTTTTTTTTTGGTCAATCGTGGGGGCCTGAACTCTGGGCCTGGGCATTATCCCTCAGCTCTTCAGCTCAAGGGTAGAGCTCTACCACATTTGAGCCACAGCGCCACTTCCAGCTTTTTCTACTTATGTGTTGCTGAGGAATCGAACCCAGGGCCTCAGGCATGCAAGGCAAGCACTCTACCACTGAGCCACCTTCCCAGCCCATGTTTGCCTATTTTTAAAGAAACAGCTAAAAGTAAAAATGATCCAAATAATTAAACTAGTTTTGAAAGTGGGAAGATGGTGTGACACAGCAATGCACAGGCACTAACTGATAAAACTTTTTATTTCACTTTTGAATTTTTACACTTTTCCTGATTAGTCCATGTAAGGTGAAACTAGAACTGTTTAAAAGACATACACAAATCTAGTACATCAATAACCGGGGAATTTTCTTTTTTCTTTTTTTTTTCTATACTATTTTCACAACCACAGGTGGGTGTGCTTGCTAGGCAATGTAACCATCACAGAAGCAAACGGTAGGCAGAATACTGGTAAGGAAAAACAAGGGGCTATCAGATATACAGACAAGCTTGGTTCCACATTCACTACTGCATTTTCAAGCGCCAAGTATTAACTGCACATTTTTGTTCAGCTAAAAAGGAGTGATTTTTCTTTTTTTTTTTTCTGGTTTGTTTAAATCAGTGCATGAATTTTTCTTTTCTCAGTTCAGCATATGGACAAACGGATGGGACTCTACAGCTAGGTGGAATGTCAAAGGTAAAGGAGTGATACTGTGACACTGAGGGGCCTGGCTATTCTCTGTTGTAGTGTCCACACAACTTCCCTGTGTTCTAGGGTCTTGTTCAGACATTATCTGAGAACTGAACTGGATGAGCACACTTAGGAGCTTGGTGATAATAATTAACAAGCAGTATCAGGGCTGGTTGCAATATAAGGAGAAACCATGGATACTTAAGAGTGCTTTGCTGATTCTGATTGTGGTATGACTGAAGAGCAGTAACTGTGCCCAAAACTAGAGGAAGACAGGGCAATGGTGTCAGAAGCTCTTCTCAACTCTGAAGCAGGCTTGCTCACCCAATGTACTCACCCACTGTATCTCTTACATCCTGCCCATACAGTATAAAAAGTAAACAGAAGACAAAACATAAGCTTCCAAAAGAAAATAAACATAAGGACAAAAATTTAAAGAGGAGAAGAGTAAAAAATGGAAAGATCGTTAAATTTTAAAATTTCAAATGCCCCAAGCTAGGAAGAACCCAAAAAATGAGTACTCTTCAAGTGAGAAGCTATCTCTACAGAACGTTATTCTTAAAGGTAGCATCCAGGAAACAGAGAAAGCCATCCGTAAGACACACGGTTTTTTATTTTTCTTTTCTTCTTTTATCTAAGTGGTAATAAGGAAAAGAGATCCCTCTGATTTCACAAGTTGCAAATCAGTATCATATTGCTGTAGGAAAGGGGGTTTAAGTCACATCGTACAGGAGCACGGGACCTATTCATGGTATCACAACCAAGTTTTCTGCCACAAACAATTCTATTTTCAGGCTTTGATCCTCAGAGGAAGACTCTACATTTGTGGTCATGAACTTTTGAGTGGCAATGGCCCAAATTGGTCAAGGATCTATATGTTCCCACAGGCAGAATCACTGTGAATTACCATTAAACTTGGATGCCAAATGGTAACTGTCTCACTCCTAGTCCCAGCATTGCAATATAATCTCTATAACTTTCTGTACAACTTTACAACAGAATTGTATTTCAGTGACTATTTTGATATCAGATTAAATTTTCCAAAAAGTTATACATAATTCAGGCCTATTTTTTTCTACCAGTGAGAGTTCTGCTAAGTTACAAAACCCCATAATCACAGTGTTCAGTTTTAAAAAATTAAACATACAGTAATCCTGTCAAAGTTAATCGAAATCAAAACTTCAGAATGCCGTGGCATTTATGTGACCAATTTGTGTTTTAGATACAAATACCAGCTGTTTATCCCATGGACCATTTTTGCTAGGCAGAGGCTGTGAAAAATCGAAAGTCGACGTACAATTTTTTTTTTATCGCACAAAGGGATATATGTGGAGGGTACAGAGTGACACTGAACAGATCAGAGAGCACAACAGACATTAGTTCTCTCCCTCCCCAGCATCTCCTTCATCTCCCTGGTTCTCCGATGTCCACAGCTGCAAAACAAAAAGAAATCAATGCTATAATCAAACCAGGGCCACTAAAACTTCTAGGGGTGACCCAATCTGTACCTTATCTACCCTAACTTTAAAATTCCTTCTGTAGTACCTCAGGAATGACTGCAAAGCTCAAAATCTTAGTAGTCATATGTAACTGATTTAACAATTACATCTTTCTTTCTTTTTTTTTGTGGTACTAGGGACTGAGCCAAGGGCCTCCAAGTGTTGTACCACTTGAACTATGCCCCTAGACTTTTTGCTTTTCATTTGCTTCTGAGAGAAGAATCTTGCTAACTTTGCCAGGTGATTCTCCCATCTTGCTCCAGAGTAGCTGTGACTACAGAAAAGTATCACTGCATCCAGCTAACAATTGTACTTACAGTGAGATTGTCCCTAAGTAGCTGCATGATCAGGGTGCTGTCTTTGTAAGACTCTTCATTCAGTGTATCCAATTCAGCAATTGCTTCATCAAATGCCTAAACAAAAAGCCTTCAGTAAATCTTCAAGCTATCAGAAACACCTCTAGCTCAATTTTTTTCTGCTAATGAGTATAAGTATTATCTCTTTCATAGTACTTGGGGGATCTATTATTACTTTGTTTCAAAAAAATGTACAGTGCATGCTTATATAGCAGTAACTAGAACAAACCAAAACTCCTGTATCATAACTGTCTTGTACACAGATAAGAACAGATAACCAATGCCCAAAGCTTGATGAGAAACAACTGCCGATTTTACCTAGAATTGTTTATAACCACCCACTATAACAGTCATCAAACAAAACAAGCAAAAATCAGCAGGTGTTGAGAGAAGAAATCATAGTGTTCATACTTCATAAAAGATATAATTGTACCCCTAAAAAAATCTTTGTGCCAGGAGCTAGTGGCTCATGCCTGTAATCCTAGCTACTCAGGAGGCTGAGATCTGAGGATCATGTTTCAAAGCCACCCGGGCAGGAAAGTCAGTGAGACTCTTATCTCCAGTAAACCAGTAGAAAACTGGAAATGGCCCTGTGGCTCAAGCGGTAGAGAGAATGCCTTGAGCTGAAGAGCACAGGGACAGCGCCCAAGCCCAGAGTTCAAGCCCCACCACTGACCAAAAAAAAAAAAAAAAATCTTTGTAAAATTAATTATTTGAAGATGTTCAGGCATAAAAAGAAGTTACTAGAAAGCAAATGCATGATTCACTATGACCAGAAACTGTCCTGAGTCCTTCTCACCGTTTTTGCTAGGCTGCAGGCCTTTTCAGGAGAGTTTAGAATCTCATAGTAAAAGACGGAGAAATTTAGTGCCAGGCCAAGTCGAATTGGATGTGTAGGCTGCATTTCTTTCTTACTAATTTCAAACGCTTCCTGATATGCCTGCTGGGAGT